GGGGGGGGGAGAGAAAACGAAAGTTTGGAGGGAGGGTACAGGAGGGAAGGTGATAAAAAATACAAGGGAGGGGGCAGGTGATGCAAAGGTTTTGGCGGCACCCCTCTCCGATTCGGCGCCGCGCCGTCGCAGGCTGTCCGCCCGCCGCATCCAGCTTGCATCACTGACAATAGGATGGGGAGGGGGAGGCGGGGGTGAGGCGTTCGATGCGACCCATCCTGATCCTGATGCTCACGGCGCGCGCGCCCGCCCGCAGGTAACCTGGTCACGGTGCTGGCGCTGGCGCGGTCCCCGGCGCTGCGCGCGCACGCCACCACGGCCTTCATCATCTCGCTGTGCACCTCGGACCTGGTGTTCTGCGCTCTGTGCCTGCCGCCCACGGCCGCGCGCTTCCTGCTGTCCCGGTGGCCACTCGGGCCGTTCGCCTGCGCCGTCTTCCCCCTCCTGTTCTACGGCAACGTGGCCGTCTCCGTGCTCAGCATGACCGCCATCGCCATTAACAGGTGAGCGCCCCTCTTTTGTGAACTTCAGTCAAAAGTTCATGGGAGTCCAAAACTTGACGGACTCGTGCCTGTCGCAGGTACATCCTCATCATGTGGCACAGCGTGTACGCGCGGCTGTACTCGCGCCCGCACATCCTGCTCATGGTGCTGTTCGTGTGGGTGGTGGGCTTCTCGCTGCTCGTGCCGCCGCTGCTGGGCGCCTGGGGCTGCCTGGGCCTCGAGCCGCGCTCCTTCAGCTGCACCATCCTCAAGAAGGACGGCGCCTCCCCCAAGAAGCTCGTGTTCGTGGTGGGCTTCGCGCTGCCCTGCACCGTGATGGCGGCCGCCTACTCGTGCATCTACTGGCGCGTCAAGCGCTCGCGGGCGGCGCTCAAGGCGCACGGGTGAGTGTGCCGCGGGCCGCCGGTGTGGGACTCCCCCAACCAAGTGCGAGACGGGACACCGAAACGCTGTCGAAATCGACGTCGATGCGATGCGATATCGTCTGTTTGGAGCCGCGTGTGACGCCGCCGCCTCTCTCCTGTTGCAGCACCTCGGGCTCGCGCCTGTCGCTGGAGGCGGTGCGCGCGGCCGGCCACGCCGTCAACAAGAACCCCAAGGACGTCGTCGGCAAGCCCGCGGCCGCCGGCACCGGCGGCGGTTTCAGACGCCGCGACGACCGGCGGCTCACGAGGCTCATGCTCACCGTGTTCTGCTCCTTCCTCGTGTGCTTCCTGCCGCTGACCCTCGTCAACGCCATGGACAACCTGGTGAGTTGCGCCCGCCCGGCGGCGCTCGCCGTTGACCCCTGACCCCTGACTGACCCGTGTCTTTTGTCCTCCAGGGTGCGCCGCCCACGCTGCAGCTGCTGTCCTCGGTGCTGGCCTGGGCCTCGGCCGTCATCAACCCCTTCATCTACGCAGCCACCAACAGGCAGTACCGCGCCGCCTACCGCCGGCTGCTGTGCGGCTGCGGCGCCGACCAGCCCTCGGCCAGCGCGCCCTCGCCGCGACAGCGCCTGCACCACCGCGGCCGCGTCACCTCCGACTCGGGCACGGCCACCGTCACCACGGCGGGCCGCGTGGGCTGAGGGGGGCGCCGGGGGCGCCGGGCCCGGGCCGGGGAGGCTGCCGCGGCGGAGCTGCAGGCGCCCTCGGAAGCAGTGCTGCCGCCGTCCCCCCGCGGCCGCGGCGGCGCGGCCACCCCTGCCCTCCTGGGGACACGGACACGGGATCGCACCAGCACGGTGTGACAATGAACAGTGCTCCAGCTGTGTTTTCCCCTCCCGTGCGACTCATCCTGGCGTCGCTCGCACCATGGCGCAAACGTCATGGCCCTCTGCCACAGAGACCGTGTACAAAAATGACTTTGTTTGTTCTGAAGTTTTGTAAATGCTGTATGCCAAAGACAATTGTGTAAAACTCATAGGTTATAAAAGTCTGAGAAACGACGAGTCTTATTTACGAAATCTACATAGGTGTAAGTGTACTGCCCGACGATCGGCCGCTGTAAATTACTACTTCTGTTTGAGAACCTGGTCGATGTAGTTTCTTGTTTCGCGCTTGGTGAGGTCGACGTAGACCCCGGGGTATTTGCTCGAAGCGCAGCCGTCTCCCCAAGACACAATTCCGTACTGAATGTAAGTGTTCACCTGGACCGCTGGGCCACCAGAATCGCCCTGGAAAAGTGAGGGAAAAGCATTTAGCTCTAGCTCACGTTGAGGAGGCTCACCGCCGAATTGATCATGACCAGCATGGCCACACTGGAAAACCAAAGGTCCTGGGTTGCACCGGCAGGGATGCTGAGGAAATTTTGAGTTTAATGTCTTTGGAAAGGCACTAAACCCTTGACACCTTTGTGCCAAGTGCAACTTAGCACCTTGTTTTTCAGTGCAGTGATCTGCCAGCTCCACACTCGCCCGGTAGAGTCCTGTAAGAGTCCTATAGGACTCTGTCGCCCGGTGGGGACTTGATGGTACGCGCGACGAACGCAGTGGGACTCACCGTGCAGGAGTCCTTCCCGGGGGAAGCGGCGCAGAACATGCGTTCGGTCACGGCCCTGATGCCCTTGTACTCTTTGACGCAGGTGGCGTGGTTCACCAAGCTCACGACGGCCTGACGCAGCTTAGTCGGGTACTCGAACGCCATGGCCTGCGGGACAGGGCAGATCCCTTGACGGGTAACAGCGGTTGCTGCCCGGTGCGTAGCTATACTCACCATCAGAACAGTGCTGTTCTGCTCCGACCAGTACTGTTCTGAGGGTTCCGTTGTATACTCACCGTCTCGGCGCCCCAGCCCTGGATCTGGATCTTGGACGGCAGAGCGGCGCCGATACGTGGAAACTGGATGGGCTTGACGGTAAAGCTGAACCTGAGTGGCGTCTTGAGCCGGAAGATGCCGACGTCGTAGTCGATGGCTTGGGCGTTGTACTTTTTGGTGTTGTAGAACACCTTGCTCACGACGACGAGTTGTCCGCCCACACCCCTGCGGGTGGCCCCCGCGCGCACGCGGTACGCGGCCTTGGGGTCCCTGCAAACGCAATGCGTCCTCCATCAGGATCAGGGGGCGAACAGAGCTGATCCGGGAGCTCCGTTTGTTCTCCGCGTGGATGCGGTAGCCCTCACCGGGAGGGTCGTCGCACTTACTCTGCGATGCAGTGCGCGGCGCTCAGGATGTTGTACTTGTTGATGACACTGCCGCCGCAGTTGTGGAACCACTTGGGGAACTCCGTGAAGTACTTCTCGACGGACACCTGCGCCGGAGAGAGAGCGGGCGTAACGGCTAGGGCAGGTCAGAACACCGTGGGGGGAAAGGGGTGCGCCGGACTCACGATGTAGGGGTGCTTGAGGATGGTGGTCGCCGTGCCGCCCACAATCATCTCGGCACCGAATAGACTAGGCGACGAAAACGATCTGATCGAGGATGAGCCCAAGCTGAAAGAAGTACTTCCGCCGGGGGAACCTGCAAAAGACCGGAACAAAGGTAAGAGGGCGCCGTCCGCGTCCGTGACTGGAACCGGAAAGGGGAAGGGGGAGGGGGGGGAGTGCTCACCGACACACGGGGACGCCCACAGGGCCGCCGCCACGCACGTCAACGCCAACGACAGCCTCATGATGTTTTGCGACCGTCGCGTATTCTTACTGACGTTCCGTGAAGAGTATGGCAATGCAGTGGTGTGGCGCCGCCGCCCCGCGCGCTCCCGTCTTTATAGCTCATCGTGTGTCCACCAAGGTGTCCGCCGACACGCCGCCAGGAGGGCGGGCGACACGTGCTCAGGGACAGGCAGAAAACCCGCCGAAAATACTCGCCAGAAAACAAGGGACAATTATTGGCTCGCACGTTTCAAATAGTCTACGTGCTCTCACTATCAAGAGGAGAGGGCATTTCAAACCTCGTTATTGGCGGCGCAAAGCAGCAACAACAAACTGAGTATTAATTAGAGATGACAACTTGAACTGTCGTTGTCGAAACTCCAGCGGGCGGCATGGAACCGCGCGTGGGCCACCCACCCGGCCCCGGCGACCGTTGGGTGGCCTAGCACCCAGGGGCGCCCGCGTCCCGGCTGGAGGATGCGGTGCGGTGACGGGTGACGGGGCCGCGGCCTGCTCTCGGGGCTTCCGCAGACCGCGGCCACCAGAAGGGGCTTTTGGGGGAGGGGGCATGCTGTATCTGGCGAGGTGAGTGGCCGGTGCATGAGGGAGCTACATGATCACTCCTGGAAAAACATATCCCACCACGTTCTGCAGAGATACGTCGTTATTTGCCTCACGCGTGCGGAACAACGAGGCTCATGCATGACCCCTGGCTGGTAATAAATAATTACACAGACTGCGTAATGTTAATTCATTTGTGGTCCGACCCGACCGACCCGGCCCGGCCCCGCGGTGCGCGCGCACGCGGCCCGGCTGGGTACCCGTTTGCCGCAATCCGGTACCCGGAGCAGCCGAGCCCGAGCCGAGCCGAGTACACTAGCGAGCTGCCGAAACGAGGAGCGAAGAGCTCGCGGGCCGCGCTCGAGAAGACCGCGCGAGTGGTCAGGACTCCAGCGGGAGCGGGTGAGATGGAAGGTGGGCCCCTCGCGGACGCAGCCTAGGAAAGCACCCACCAAGGACGCCTGCTATTGCCCGCAGCTCCGCGTTTGGCCGCCTCCGGAAAAGGCCCGGAGGCGTCTGCCTTCGTCGGCAGAACGGGGCCCGCGTGAGGGCGAGAGAGAGGGCGAATGCACGCGGCTTTACCCGGACACGCCCCCGCTGCTTTGGGCGCCCGCGGGGTCGAGGGGCGGAGCGGAGCGGGGTGGGGAAGCACCTGGGCGGCGAGCGGCGAGACGGAGGCAGCTCGGCAAAGCACGTATTAGTTTTGTTGCTTTACGTTGGTGATGATTAGCGACGACCGTTTCGGGCCGACCGGGCAAAATTCCGTCCCCTGAAAGAGGTACGTCTAGTGGCGCGAAAGACACCGAGTGCGAATTTGTCGCCAAATAGGCAACCCGCCCGCTCGTAATCGCGGACTCAGCGGTGGGAAAGATGAAAATGAAAATGATCCGGATGTGAACGTCTGACTCCTGAGGACCGCCCGCTTCCGCAAACGCGATCCGCCTATTTTTCAAAACCTGTCAAGTTCGGTCTCTTGAGACACTGTGCGTTAGACGAGAGAATTCGTCGTCTTCAAGTGTTTCTGCAGATCTGTGCTACGAATTTGTGTTTCTGTGGCAGTGACATAACCTCTTCTCTAGCACCTGCTTGCAAATTGTAAACTTATATTGTTTAAAACGCAGTACTAAGTGTATTGTACACTTCTTTTTAATTTTTCTGTTTCCGATAACTTTAGTATTGTAGCTTTTAAAGATTTAGAAGTGTCATTTTAAACGTAACAGAACAAATTTTCAAGAAATTCTTTTGCATTGTCTTAAAAAAACTTCTCCCTTTTTATTACAGTTTTACTGGATTGAAGAAGGCTTGGAATTCATCAGACCACAACAATGGAACTTTTGGATCTAAACTGGGAGGATGTTCTTCACCGTCATGTTTTGTCGCATCTATCTATGGCTGACTTGTTCCATCTAAGAGCTGTCTCAACAGGTTGTCGAGCACTTGTGCACTCATATTTCTCTAACCTATTGGAATTAAATGTTAGCTCGCATTGCGATCAGCTCACGCAAGATGCATTTAAGGTCTGAGTTTTTCCAATTAACTTATTTTATTTGTGCTACCATAGCTCCATGTTTACTGAATTCAATTCTGTATTTTAGGTCATAGCAACGAACACAAGTAGTCTCCAAACTTTTGTGGGAGACAACTGCGGTTTCTTAGAGGATAATTTGTTAAAAGTCCTTTTCATGAATAATCCAAAACTGAAAGTTGTGCATTTGCAATCCTGCAAACATTTGACACCAGCAAGTCTTCAACCACTAATACTCAACTGCAAGGTAACATTTGGAAATAATACTATAATTTACTATATTGCTGGATATGGCAATTAATTTTGTTTACACTGGCATCTTTATATTCTAGATGGATTTAAAATTTTGTGTAACATTTCTATTACAGGGATTAAAAGTTCTTAACCTTAGAGGATGTCCATGGCTCACTGCTGGCTGTCTTCAAACATTTGCTCTCCATCAGTCAAACTTGGAAGAAGTTCACTTTGAATCCTGCTTATCTCTGAATGATGCATGCCTTGAACACTTCTTTTCCAGTTTTTCAAAGTATGTATCCTGCAGTTAGAACTTTCAAATATTGTTTGTTTTTATTTTTAACTATTTAATGTTTGCTGCTTTGTGTCTTTTAGAATGCAGTTGGTTCAGTTTGCCCATCTGCACTCTGTAACAGATAGAACACTTTTTGCATTGGCTAAATACTGCAAGAACCTAAAAAATCTGGATATATCCAACTGTAGCCAAATCACTGATCAAGGATTAACGTAAGTACTGTTTCATCAAAATGTTTCCCCCAAATCTGCCAAATCTTGACATCAATTTGATTTGAACTGATACATTTTGAGTAATTGTTGAAAAGCAATATTTGTTTTTATTTTTTAAGGGCTCTGGCAAAATGCCCTAATCTCCAGTACCTGAGAATATCATACTGCGCTGGAGTTCGCTCTGGCACAACTACAGAGCTTTCAACTCGATTCGACCGTGTACAAATTGAAGATAAACGACCACCCCCTCCGCCAGGTTGGTGTATTAAATGGATGCCACGCAATCCAGGCTGGATATTTCATCGAAAACAAATGGTTCAAGCATAGCGGTTTCTCTTACTTGTTTTCATTTACCAATTTTATCATATCCCTTTCTCATTTAAATAATTCATTACATGCATGTAACTCTCCTCTGATGTTTACCTTATAATTTTTTTTAAACTACAGCAGCTTCTGCTTGCTACTTATGATATTTTGCTTCAATTTGATAGAAAATTGCCATCATGAATGATATGAGGAGTGTAACGCTGAGTTCTGAAAAAATTGTGATTCTTGTTACTCTATGTGTACGTATGTTTGATTACTTTGCTTAGCAAAGAATTTGTTGTACTTTTTGTGTCAGTGTAATAGCTTAAATTGAAGATCAAACCTATTAAGTTTGTTTTCTTTGTTTTACTGATGATTGTTTTTATCTTAAATTCTGTGATCTAAGTTGCCATTTTAATTAACAATTCTATTTTTACTGTTTGTGACGTGCCTGATATCAAACAGGGTAGTTATACGTAATGCATTCTTTTCATCATGCAATTTCAAGGCTGAGTTGTTTAGCATCATTAGAGCATTCCTGCTGGTCCAAACCAGTAACTTGCATTTGTCATACACTTACAGGGTTTATTATGTTGATTGACTTTGTTAGTGTATCTTTTTGACTATAGCCTGCTATAGCTGTGCCTAATATTCTAGTACTGAAATTGCATGATGGATAACTCTTTTCAATGAGAAATATTTTATATTCTTTTAAAAAATATGCATTTACTTCATTTTGTTTTGGTTCTATCTGTGGACTATCTCAATGAGGACTAATATCAACCAAGAACTGATCAAATTACATTGTACTTATTTTGTTCTTTTGAATGTAGGTTTAAATATTAGGTTTTAAATTCTGTCAGTATTTTTGCAACAGAGTCTTTTTTGCTTTCCTGTCGTTGTTACTGTATTGGAGTAGTATTTCTTTACTACAAGGTAGTATCTTGTTTGTTGTTTTTTTCTTTGTTCTATTTTCAAGTACAAATCAACATTCCTATATGCCAAGAAATTTGGAGTATGGCCATATACAGTTCAGTGTTATCTCCGAACTATATTTATAATCACATATCACATGCAAATAGTTTTTGTGCAAATAATAAGAAAACCCCCAAACTTTTAAGAGGGGCTGAAGCCAGTTTATGGCCCCCACAACTTCAATGTTCTTTGTATTTTGAGCTTAAATGTTTTCATCAAAACACAATTATTGGTAGGGACCAAGACCAACAATTTTTTTATTGTTGTTTTTTTACTGAGTGAATTTATCTTGTGTGCAAGTAGTTTGTGAGGTTTTTAAGCTAAATATTTACTGTGAAGTCTGTTGTATTTAATTGTGTTTTGAACAAATGTGTGTCCCTGAATTACATTGTGTGTTGTAGAAGCCATGTAACATTTAAAGACTGTACATTTTTTCAACTGACGAAAACTAGGTTGAATAAGAAGTGGGTACTGGATTAGATTTACAGAGATAGGTCCCTCTCAGGTTGCTGTGTTTGCTTCATATATTTAGCATCTGTTGCGGTGTTTGATGGCACTTGATGTTATCATTTGATATTTGTTGTTTTAAGTGTAGCTTCGTAAGAGTCTGGTTTGACTGTAAACATAAACTGTCGCTGAATGAATCTAAAAAATAAAATATTGTTGAACTAGCAGTCGTGCGACTATTTCGGATCATCGTCGTCGTGGAGCGCCTGCGGAGTAGGCAGTCCTGTCAGACACGGGTGTATTGCGGGCGTGCCTACCCGTCCCTTTGCAGGCGGCGGCCCGAGAGGACCGCAGGGCCGCTCACCCCGCGTCCGCCCCACTTCTGGCGTGCAGAAAGGACCTAAAAGGTGCCGCGGTTCTCTGTGTTTAGAGCTCGCGGGTGGCGGAGCGGAGAGGAGTCATCACACGCCGTGTAGGAGGCGGAACACTCTTTGAGACGGGAGGCTCGCCTGAAGGCAGGCGTGGCTGCCCGGTCCACCAATGGCGCACCGTCCCGCGCACGACAGGCCGGCCAATCAACAGCGAGACTTTGCCCGGCCGCTTCTGACACTTGACTGATGGGCGGTTCGTTTCACGCCGTAAACATTTCCCGTACGCAAAAATATTTCATAAAAACTTTCAGCCAATTTCTAAAAAATAAAGCTTATTGGAAAATGTACATTTATTGCGGAATTTTCAAACGTTCGTGACAGATGGGGTCACTAGTTAGAGGTCAGAGCACTGCCACTGCGCCCATCCAAGAAGTAAGAGCGTTGCAGTCGGCAGAAACAGATTGTTATTGGCGCCAAGGCCGGGGGCTGCGTGCTGGCGTGCACGCGCCGCCACTGCAGGACCAACCAGCCCCGGAAGCAAGGACCGCGGGCCGAGTGCTCGCCGGATTGTATTGTTTTTGACGGGGGATCGCTCCTTCATGGGGTTCGGGCGTAAATGACGGTGCCGTTTTCTTCCCCCTTGAAGCGGCTGCACAGAGCTCGCGCCTGCATGCATACGGACTGAGGCGAGGCGGGTTTGCTGTAGCCTTGGCTCTGACCCGTACGCCGCCGGGCAAGGCAGGGGGGACTCCCCCCGGTGGAGGAGCACAGGACGCCCGGCCGGTAGGCAGCCCAACTGACTCCGGCGGGGATCGTAGGCACTCCCCCGGGGAATCGCGGAAGCAGAAGCCGCCGACAGAGGGACAGGCTGGGCGGACAGGGCGATGGGCCGGGCGGACAGGCGAGGACGCGCGCCTGTCCGTCGGCGCGGAGGGAGCCCATCGAGCCGCAGCAGCCCACGGACGACACGAGGAGGGTCCTTCGTGTCGAAATGGCGCCGGCGTCGCCACTGACGTGCGCGCGCGGGCCAGGGAGAAGGTGAGCGAGGGCGAGTGTCAGTAGACAAGCGCGGCGGGCCGGCGGCCGGGCGAGAGAGAAAGAAGACCCCGTCTCTCGCTCGCACCCGCACCCTGGCCACGTCGGGGACGCCACACCTGGGCCGGGACCCGGGCGGGAGGAGAAGACGCGGGGCTTGGGGCGGGAGCGGCGGGACGAGGGCGCTGTAAAGCTGTAGTAAATCCGGTGCCGTCCCGCGTCATGGAGTCGCGACGGGGAGGCGGAGGAGGGGAGCGGCCCGCGACTTCTTATTCGAGGAGTAGCCTCCTCCTCTGACATTGACGAAATTTATTGCCGCCGTGCCGCGCCCGAAGCGTCGTCGTCCGATTCGTTATTTTCTGAAAGTCGTGCGGATCGTGTCGCGCCCGTCCAGTCTAGTCCGCCTGCTGCAGCGGCCCCACGTGCCGCGTGCGGGGCACATCCGGGCACATCCGGTAATAATCAGCGGGCGCACACCGCGGTCCGGCCCGCCAGGCCCGCGCGGCCCGGCCCCCCTGGCCAGCACGGCCAGCTCAATAATTGGGAAGAGAGAAAGAAAGAAGGGTAAATGTTGGGTTTGGCGCCGAGGTGCGCAGCGCCGCAGTCCAGCGGCCTGCTGCGCGGGCCAGGTCGGGCCTCTGCTACGGGCGCACAGGGTTCGTGCACAGTTTGCAAGGTATTTTTATTGTGTGTGTGGAATTTGGTGTTATTTTCACGGCACTTCATTTGAGCTCAGGTAGGTACACAGAAAGTTCAGTGTTTTAAACGTCCCGTGCAAGGCGGTGGTATTCTTCGTGGTGGAGGGGTGTAACTCCATCATATCGTCCATTCCACGGCTCTTGCTACCGATTCCGAACCCAATCATTGGCGCGACCGTGAAATAAAAAGTACCTCACCTCCTCCTCAGAGACGTAACATGTTTACGGCCCGGGCTGAAACAACAAACCGTCCCGGCGGCCCGGTGCGAGTCAGGCGGAGCCAGGCCGCGGAGCGCGCGGCGGAGGCTGCCTCTGGGGGTGCGGAGCCCGCGGAGCCTGCGGAGCCTGCGGAGCAGCGCCAGACCCTGTTTGATGAGCATTGACACACGCGCCGCGCTATCTTGTGTTTGCCGCGAGTAATCCTCGTCGTGCTGCAGAGCGCTTTGTGGAGCAGCCAAGGAGAGGAGGCTGACGAGGCTCGTGACGATGAACTAACCTCATTATTATCGGCATAAAAGCGAGCGCGAGGAAAAGGGGGGCGTGGGGGCGTGGGAGGGAGGAGGGTGGTGGTTGGTGGTCTCGGGGCGGAGCACAGGCGGGCGCCGTGCGTCAGCTTAGCCGCTTCTCGGAGAGGTAATCCCGCACCCGCGCGCTCCCTTATCGCCCGTGCTGGCGCTAGGGGAGCAGCTACAAGGTAGCTGGCTCACTTCACACCGCGTGCTCAACACCTGGGTGGCGGGGAGAAGTGGGGGG